ATGCATATCAAAGCTTCAAAAGAAAATAGGCAGAAAATCCTACCTTAGGAATCCTTTACCTTTTTGATCAACAAAATAAAGTATCATTTATAAACGATAATGGATAGTGATGTGTCAGGCAGGGAATCTTCTTTTACTGTTTTTTAGTGTGTGTGTGTATATAATTATGTTTACTACAAGATTACACACTTTACATACAAAACAATATATATTGTAAAGAAATATGTATTGTTGACTATAATATGTTCTTTTACAATAAGTTATTTCTACACACAGCATCATTTTATATATAGCCTATATATATATATATATACAAGGTAATTCGTTTTTACCTCCAGAAACCACAACTGCTAGATTACATGGAGCTACTGTCCTAATAAAACTAATATACATATTGTAACAACACAGGAACTCACGCGTCGTGTTTGTAAGCACAGGGCGCCGCCATGCCTGCATACATATATGCGTTGCCAGGTCACCTGACTCTCGCGATATTTGCGTCGTACTCCGCTTCTACACAGATGGGACGTTTTAGACAGAAATGCAACTTTTAATGCCAATAATCAGTATTTTACTACTTACTTTAAAATCCATGCATTGAATAATGTTTTTTTCCCTCTCCAAGCACCACATAATTTTATTTTTAAAAAAAGGGTACATTTATATATTACTATATTTCCAACGCAATATTTAATTCTAATTTTTTATCAGCATTTCAGTTATTTAAACGTTTTGTAAATTGCCTGTGAATTTTTTTTATATTATATACACTCATATGAGTTGCAGACATGTCATAAGTTGTTTTATAAACTTACATTTTATGTAAAGCAGGTTAAGGAGGTAGAAAAAATGACAACTGACCCCATATTTTTTTAATGTCAACTGCTAAATAGAGAGAAACGTCCACACAAGTGCTTCATTCTGAAGTATTTATTGTTTTTCTTCAAACAAACCAGAAACCCCCAAAACTATTTACAAAATTAATATTCAAACATTGTCAAAATGACCTTGCATCTCTGGAAATCTCAAAAGACATCCACCTCAGGTTGCGTGTGATAGATGCCTAGTATAAGATCTTATGATTAAGAATCAGCCAGTGCCACTGTTATCACTGGATCACTTTAACATGAACACACAGCTCTGTGACAGTCAATATTGTTGCTGCACACACTGAATCAATATGAGAAACATGTATTTTTATCTTCATTAACATTTTAAAACATGGATTTTTGCATACCAGTAAAGACATTAGGCATCTCTAGTTTAATCTGACCTGTAACATTACACAATTAATCATCTTAAAAGGGCAATACCGTACTCAGAGAGTGACATGTGCAGCAGCACCTCCACCAACAGATCCCATCCTTTCTGATCTTTAGCTCAGTAACACTCAAGCATGTGTTAGTAAAAGTACTTCTACACAGCCACGTCTATTTTGAGCTCAAAAATGAAGACATTTGACACACAATTCTGACCTGGAAACTTGTTTGCTGCCTTCGAGTATTGAAAATGCAAAGCAAAAACTGTTTTAACGTTAGGGTGCATCATCATACTTGCCCAGTTACAACCAAGAATTAATTACACATGTTTTGTGGGGATCATTTGTAATGTTTCATAACTCATTTCGCAGGTTCATAATGTTTCAAGGGTTTCTTAAATAAAACCACACGCTATTATGTCACAGAGCTAGTCTCGCTGACGGTTAACACTTTTTTTTGTTTGTTTTACTCATCTTAAGTGTGCCTTAATAGGCAAAACTGAACTGTTAAGGCATGTCATAAAAGAGAAAAGAAAACTGAAACCCAACAGAGAAAGGGAAAAGGGTTAGGGTTATATACATTATTTACATGGCAGCCAGAGATGAAGTGTAGTAGAACGGTGTTAAGCCATGTCAGCGAGTGTGTGATCAACAATTCATTTTTTGGACGTGTGTGTATGCAGGTGTATTTCAGTTATTAATGTGTGTGCAGTGTTTGACCCTGGCTGCACTCGAGCAGAACTCTTCTGTGCAGGTTCTAGATCTCATAGTTCGCCGTTCCAGCATTCACAGTTCACTCTCTCCTCTTAGCAAGGAAACGCGTTCCTCCGAGTAGTCCGAATATGGTGCAAATGAAACTGCAGGCCTCCACTTCTTCCGGAGCTTTTAGTTCTCGTCATGCAGTCATCATTTCACGTGCTGTTTGAAATTCCTGACCTTGGGATCTTTCTCTGAAGGATGAGGACAGGAATTAAGGGGAGGTGGAGATGCAACACCAAGCACTGGAGAGCCTCCGGCTTCATCAGAGGATCTGGAACGGCAAAGATCTAATCAAAACAGAGAAAAGGAGGAATAATAATAAAAAAAATAAAAAAACAATCTGAGGAACATCACATCATTTAAGAAAAAAAATTAACAAATCAGGAGTAGATCTAAGTGTTTTTCTAAGTGTAAAAACTAAAAAAAATAGTTGTTGGCTAGGATGTTCTGGGAGTTGCCAAGTCTTTTCTTGTTAGTAGAACAAACCTTAACCTAATTAATAGAGGAAGAAATAGAGGAAGGAAAATCAATAAATGAATGAACATATATAACCAAACAAATGAATGTCATTACCAAACAGACGGTCTTGCAGCACAGTAACCACTTCAAGCCAAAGGTGAACTCTTCAGCCATGCAGTCAGCAGGTGGCGATAAAGCTGATGGAGCTTATCGGCTCTTTATCTCCAATACAAAAAAACCTGTCCTCCAGTCTTTTTTTTTTTTTTTCGGTATTTTTCGGTCATCAACTAAATAATCAATTCCATTCCACAAAAAAAAAAAAAAAAAACATTTTGCGTTGGCTAGCACCCTGGACCGAGCAGTTGAATCCTTTTTACATAACGGAGAGCACTGTTGAGTGAATCTGTTCTGAATCTCCACATTGTCACCAAGTTTGGAGACTGTACGTATAGTCTTAAATATCAACATTGTTCAGTGAAAATCCTCCATGGGAAAATTCCAAGGATTTTTCCACAAGTCCTAATGTCTCTGAAACGTCCCTTATCCATTTACGGTTAAAGCTTGTGTGGTGGCGTTCTCAAGCAGACTGAGAAACAACCACCTTCAGGAAAACGAGTCTCATGCAAGGGCGTCAAAATCTCTCGAAGCGTCCATCTGCTGACAGAAAGCGGGCATCTTGCGTTCTGTCTGCGCTCTCCGAGCCCAAGTGAAAGTTCCTCACAGTTTTAAGCAAAGGAAAAGTGCATAGTGAGGGTATCAGGGCAGTGCTAGTCCCTTTGTTATCTTTATGAAGATGATGGCCATGACACCCCGTCCCCCCCAGAGAGAAGTATGGGCAGATCTGAGGTCATACATATATTCTTTTGTTGTTCTTCTCATCAACATCCATCACAGATATGTCCATCCAAAATAATCCACAAGCCAAAAAAATGATTGGGTAAAAGGGACAAATGTTAAAGCATTCAATATGCATCTTACAGTACCAAGAGGTCATCTGTGCTGTCTTGATTTTTGCCTTCTTTCCAGGTACATAAAGCATTTCTTCTGTCTTGATCAATTTGATTCCATTACAAAGAAAGATTAGTCAAAGGTAAACAAACGAACAGAAGTTCGCTAAACAAATATGGTCGCCTTTATGATTCTTAAAAACACACCCTGTCCGTGAGATAAAGGTACATGATGAAAGCTTTGATGTAATTCCATTACTTGTGTTCCAGCGATCCAAGTTTGTTTCAGTCAGCAAGTTACATAGGCTGCGCTCATATCCACATGCAAAGGAAGGGTCTGACGTCATGCCATTAAATTCCCCCCCGACAAAATGATTCTAAACTGCAGAATCGCATATTTAATCACCAAAAAAATAAAGGGGGGAAAAGCACCCACAAACGTCTGTGTGGTTTGTAAACAACCAAAACTCCAGTATGGAATAGAATATCTTTTAAGTTCTCATTTTCATAGTCAAAGTCTGTATGAACAGGATTGTAGAGGCAGTGTGTTTTTGTGGTAAGCTTTTCGATTTCGCTCCCGATGATGTCCTGCTGATTACGTTTTAATATCCCGTGTTGAGCAACCCCATCTACACCGTTACATTTTTGGAATACATTCAAAAATTTTTTTTTTTTTTTTTTTTTTAAGAATGAAAGAAAAAAGTACACAAATGCACTTCACACGGTGGCAACTAAAAAAAGAATCCAAGGAAAATTTTTCAAAACTAACAAAAATAGTAGCAGCCCCAAGTGCTCTTCCTTTTGTAGTCCAATACTTTGTTTATATTCATAGATTCATATATAATCATATATAACATTAAAAGAAAAAATAAATCACCATCATTGTCGTCGTCGACAACAACAATGAACAAGTAACAAAATATACAAACATTTTGTGCACTGCTGAGTGCACTTGCACAGTTTGTTGCGATCTTTTTTTTTTTTTCCAGCCAGAAATAGTCAAAACCTCAGTCACTCGAGAGCAAGAGAGTGGACAGAAAGGCAATGTTAGGTCACATCCTCCAAATATCAAACATTTTTCATCCAAGCATCCCCAGGCTACAATAAAACTGTACAGAGATAGGCTCTTGGTTCATAAGCATGGGAGGCATGTGGGGGCGGAGCCTCCCAAAGGAAACCACACCCCTTCGCTAAAAAATAATGTCTCAATGGCAGCAATGAAGTCTAATCATTCGCCCTTTAGTTCTTAGGCACACATGTGGGGACAGAAAAACACCACACACACATGAAGCAACGTATGTACCACAAGTAACCATTTCCTAAAGGTATACACGATTGAGCTCTTCAACAACACACAAACAAAACAATGCTGCTAATGACATGTTCTTAAACCTCACAGAGGCAAAGATGAGGCAGGAAAAGACATCTCTTGCACTCCCTACCATGAAAACTAAGAGTGCTGGTTGGCGTAAAATGGGCTAAAGCTTTTGTGTTTGAAGCTAGAGGTCTTTCTTTGTTGGGGAATTGAAGGGCTGGTGAAAGAGGATGTGTTGTGCCGATGCCCCCCTCTCTCGGTCTTTCTTTCTTTCCTTCATTCATTCGTTCGCTCACATACTGCACATTTACAAGAGGAGTAATACACACAGTTCCTCTTGCACACAAGCATTCACATTCACGCATTCGGTTCATAAAAAAAAGAAAAGAAAAATCACTCTGAATGACGAAATGGCCTCTTTTGATCATACGTCTAAGTAAGCGATTTAAAAAAAATACATTGTGCAGACTGGTATGCTTTAAACGCTCACGCGCGCACACTCTCATTTTCATCTCGAACAAACATGCGTGTATAGACATACACACACAGGCACACAATCACAAAAATATTCATCTCTATTATATCTAACGCATTTTTTAAAAATCTTTTTAACTTGCATTTTATGTGAGTGCAAATCTTCAAGTTTTATAATCAAAGATTTTTTTATAATAGCTTTACGTTTTTTAATAGAAACTTTATATATATGTATATAAAAAACAACAGTGTTTGTCTTTAAAGAGAGGATTTGTTTTTCTGATAATGTCTGAACTGAAACACGCAATGGTCCCCCAATCGTCACCATTTCCTCCCAGCACAAACTCCAGTTCTGTTTCAACACACACACACACACAGTATATGTATATATATGTGGTAACATTTCTGAAGCATACCACATAAATATACAAGTAAATCTTCTCGAAAAGGAAAAAAACCTCTATCTTAATAAAGTGCATTAGTCTGAGTGTAAGGTGCTTAATGCTGTAAGTGCCAGAACTTTATCACCCCCCCATCCCCCGAAAACACACACACAAAAATAAATTCACACCTGTTCCCTTCCCTGTTGAATTACATTCTTCTATTCCCAGAGCAAAACCCACCCATCCCTAAACCGATACCTTACTCCTGGCTTATCCCCAAACCCCTCTCCCTCAAAGCAGTGCACATTCGACTTGCGGAGTCTGATTAGGTGGACCCGCGGGTTTAAAGGCCTCGTGTAGCTATTGCTGTGGATTCAGTAATCCTCCACCATCTCCATCTCGTTTAGACCATACCGATCAGGGCCACCATGGAATGAGTACCCTAAAGAGAAAGGGAGAGGAAAAAAAATCAATTTGATCACCAAGGCTAAAATTATTTGGTCAAAAACACAGAAAAAACAAAGGTTAATATTGTGAAATATTATTACAATTTAAAATAATTTTTCTATTTAAATATATTTTGAAATAGAATTCATTCCTGTGATGGCAACGCTGAATTTTCAGCAGCCATTACTCCAGGCTTCAGTGTCAGAAATGACTCTAATATGCTGATTTGGTGCTCCAGAAACATTTCTTATTAACAATGTTGAAAACAGTTGTGCTGCTAAATATGATTTGTGTCAGCAATTCAGCATTCTTTGATGAATAGAAGGGTACATGTCATTTTATTTAGATTTTTTTATGTAATTGAAATCTTTTCTATCAGATTTGAAGTGTTCACGGTCACTTTTTAATTAAATGCATCTGCCAAATAAAAGTATTTTTAATTTTTAAAAAAACCTTCCCAACCCCAAGCTATTGAATAGTAGTGTAGGTTTTCATTAAACTTCTCACAGTTAAACGGAGCATTTCATTCCAGAGCAAAATTTCATTTCACAAAAAATCAAACCCTTGCACAAACCATAAAAAATTTTTTGATTCCTCTTAAATGTTCTCTTAGAGCGTTAGAAAGAAATATTTGGAAAAATGCAATTACACTGTCAAATTATGCTTTTAAAGTGCCACAAGACTTATGCACAACATTACACAGCAAGTTCTAAGCTGTATGTGTTTAATTCACTAAAAGTCCCTGTTTTTCCAAAAGTTCACAAAAAATAACCATTGTGGTTCATGAATAACCAGCTGACAGGCGTCATTTGCTCAGGAATCAGACTACTCTGCTCATGCTGTAAGTACAAGAGGAAAATAGGTTACCTAAGATGCTTGGGTCAGAGTGCAGCATCATGGGCGGTTTCTTCTTCAGCTTTGCTGCCTGATCATAGACCACACCCCCCTTCCCAGAATGCACTGCCTGGAACATTGTCTGCAGGGCACTGGGGTTCATTCCTCGTACAGTATCCTAACAGACAAAAAGAATGAGAGAATGAGAGGCAAAATCTGATAAATGACAACTAAGACTGGGTTCTGCCCTCTGTGTCAAATTAGAATTTCACTCATACCTGCAGAGGGAAGTTGTTCATGCTAAGTCCAGCCATCTCTTTGGAGAGCTATAAGAGAGGCCCCAGATTTTTATTAGGAGTAGGCAAACAGCCCCACACAATGACTCTATATCTTCCTGTCACACACACCTGCTGCTGCTGTCTCTGGTGGTTAGCTTTCTGTTTGGCACGGCGCTCCAGGAACTGTCTGGCGAACTCTTTGGCTTCGACAGTGTCGCCCAGGTAGGAGCAGATAAAGTTCAACACCTCATACGGGGACTCCACCTCCTTCAGGTACGCCACAATGGTAGGCACTGTGAACACAAACACACGCTCACATTTTTGCTTTAGAAACTCTTGGGCCTGCTGGGCTAACAAGTGTGTGTTTACTGTACACATGTCTTCTGTTTGTTTTTACAACCTGAGGGACGAGTCTAAATTACTTTCCACCATAATCGTCAGCTTCGGCAGATGTTGTCAAAAGAGAATTTGTATTTCAGATTATTTTTTAATACAAAGCGACCCAAATGAGACAAAAGCTGGTGCATGCAAATCCTAAACGAGAGATGTCTTACCATCCTGGGAAGAGGAGGAGTTATTGGCGGAGGAATTGAGCGCATGCAGCATCTGTTCACACCAGGTGGTGAAGCCATCCTGAGACTTCATCCCCTGCAGGAGCTTCAACAGCCGCTCCTCCTCCTCAGTGTGTTTACGGCCTCTCATCATGTACTGCTCACTGTAGAAACACACACAAACGCTTAAGCTAGAACTAATACTTCGGATTGTTTGAGCATAGTGCTGCTAGCAATGCCAAGGTCATGAGTTTGATTACCAGTTTGATATACTTTTTAAAATATAAACAAGAACATTTTTGCCATGACCTTTCTGGTCATTAATGATTATGGTAAAGAGATTTTTTTTTTTAAAGTGGCTTGTAAACCGGCGTCCACGGTCGGGAGGAGCCGAGTCGGATAATGCTTGTGTGTGCAAATGGATAATATAATATATAATAATAATATATTAAGATATTAATAAAGAAACATAAACAGATACAGGGCTGCCAACTCTTAAGCATTCAGCGCGAGACAGTCAGAATTCACTAAATGCTAAATGCCACACATAGACACGTGGATGTAAATAAGATATAATATTTGCAGTTTAGAGAGCTTTATTGAATATAACATTGTGAGATTGCGATAAAGTGAGTGACAGCTTTTTAGTGATTATATTGAAGCGCTATTTGCTCACTTTCTAGGCTATAATCAATTCCGAATTTGAAGTTTTGTTTTACGTGCTGCTAACAGAACCAACGGCCACATACCCCGTACATGCAGCAAAGTTTCAGGAGTGCCATACAGTATATCCCGCATCCCTCATAAATTTGGGATTCACTTTCAAAATAGCTTGTTTGCAACCAGGGTTAGTTGCTAGGCCTATATCCACCGCCTCGACAGCAGGCAAGTATTTAGCTGAAAAATCCCTCCTCTTTATAATATAAGGATCGCATCCAACATATGTTGTGATTTTCTGTTTATAATTTTCTCTTGTAATAGTGTCTAAACCAGTCCAGTACAGACTTTCCGCCATCTCATCCATTCGGCTATTCACTTCCTGCCCTCCATCTGGATTTCGCACATCATCAGAACCTCGTGATTACTAGATATTGGTATGCCACTGAAAAGCTGTTAGTGGTTTGTGTTTACCTCAGTGAGGGACTGCTGCGGCTGTTCTTCAGCCCCATGTTGTTGCGAAGTGTGCTCTGGTTCTTGAGAGCCTCATCCCAGACTCCCATCCCTCCTCCAGAGGGGCTGCCACCACCCACCTTTCCATCCAAAGATCCAGCCGCTCCCCACAACGAAGAGGCATCACCCCACTGTAGAGCGAGACAACCATAATGTATTTATTTTGATTTTCAGGACTGCACACCAGTGATGTTTGTGTGTGTGTGTCTTACCCTCTGCTGCTGTTGGACTCTGTGCTGTTGTTTGTGCATTCTTTCAGCCTCCTGCTGGACATCCAGGAGGTTGAGGGGCTTGGTCTGCTTTCCCAGCCCAGGGATGGGTCCTCCGCTCCAGCTCGACCCGGACCCTGAGGAACCCTGGCGTGGAGCCTGCTGGAGCAACTTCATCAGCAAATCCTGCTGCTGGGAAAAAGAAAAACCAAGATATGAAGAAAGAGATGGAGTGTGAGAGAGAAAAGTATACAACTAAATAACTACTAAAACAAAATTAATTTTACACAACCATTCAAAAGTTTTTGAGCTGGTAAGATTTTTATGTTTTTGAAAGACATCTCTATTGCAACTGCATTCATTTGATTAAAAAACAGAAATATTGATATATTAATATAATTTTACATAATTTCTATTCTATATATATATATATATATATATAGAGTGCCAAACGCATTAAAAAACTCTCATGTAGCTGGAACACAATACAGTGCAGTGCAATGAGAACAGGGAGTTTGAGTCCAGTGCATTTCCTCAGATCACCAGCAGAGGGCATCAGCGGCAACTCTCACCTTCTGAAGCTGTTCTAGAATTGGACCCTGAGTTGAAGAATTCATTAAGTCCCATAGACTGGCCTCACTGCCTGCTCAAGGAAAAGAGAGAGCGTGAAAGAAAGTTTGTTTTCAGATGCAAGTGAGCGAGTAAAGAAAGGATGACTTTTTAAGTGTTTTGTGTGTGCACCTGCTGGCTGTGAGGCTGAGGTATGCATGTCCCACATGGACCCTGTATCTGGCACTGACATCGACCTGTTTAACGAAGGCATCATACCCTGCTCTTCACACCTACAAGAAAAAAAACACACATAGAGGGTTGTAATGCAGTCTTAAATAGATGAAGCATACTCAAGTGACACTGCAAAAAGACACACAAACATAAACTAACCTGTTGATGAGTTGGAACAGCTGCTGTTGCTGGAGTTGCTGGTAAAGAGCCTTGGCAGCAGCTAATTCCTGCTGCTTCTTCAGCCGCTCCTGATCCATATTACCCTGATAGACAGAGGTCAATAACACACATCAACCCGTGACAGTGATTTATCTCATACATTTATTCATGAGAGAGACTCGCATAAGTAGGGCTGGGTATCGTTCAAAAATTTTCAATATCGATACCGATACATTGACTTTGATACCAGTTCCTGAATGATACTTTTTTCGATACCAATTTTATGAAATCTATTTTAACAAGATTACATTATCTAAAAAAAAAACTTTGGTTTTATTTTTCAGCTTGTTGATGTTTATACAGACTCAAAGACTCATCTCCTGAGCCACTGCACAAAGGAACAAAATGTAACTAACAAAAAATCAGTGCAAATAGTTTTAATAAAGCTCAAATAGTCTTCAGTTTACACATCTGTTAGCTACATTTACACTAGTGCGTGTTCATTTTAAAATGCATAGCTCAGACAGAATCATCATTTCAATTCATTTTCCACTGATTTACTGATGAGCATTAGCAGCTTCCAGCGCTGTCTGCCTGTGCTCTCTCTTTCATGATCGCCGCTCTGACTCAGAGGTATTAACATTTCATTTAAGCAACATTACATGGCCAAAACACACACGGCAATCGGAAGTTATTACAAACACTAGATGGTGGTTTAAAGTGAGTTTTGAGTAGAAGCGGAATATAAATCTTATTTATTGTCTTATGCAGGGGTTAAA